GGCTCAGGGCACAGGAACCTGTTCACACAGTTGTCGTGATCACTCAAGCTACTGTCGTCCCCACAGAAGCATGGCTGCAGATCTTTCAAACTGTATAGATATGAAATTCACAACATGACAGAAGGTTCTTTACAGGCTTCTTTTTCCACTCAGCCCCTGGTGTGGGAACCCTTCCGTACTCACTACAGGGCAGCACCATGGTTTTTTTAAAAACTGAAGACTAATCTTCTTTCTTTTTTCCCCCTTTGGGGGTGGGGTGTGCCGTGATGGGTTGGCCCCCCGGGGGGCTTCCTGCATGCTGGGGAAGTGTTCTGCCACTGAGCCACACCCAGCCCCTCCCTGAGGTTACAGACTTGCACTGGTGTGGGGTAGAGTCTGCCACATCATGAGGGGAAGCCACTCAGGTGATGTGTCAGGGGCACGACGAGGTCATCAGGACATAGCCCCATTGTACGGGAAGGGCCATCTGTGTGGATAGGATCCAACCCAGTCTGAGATTCCATCTGGGGCATCTCCTATAATCCTGGGCCATGGGTACACGGGCCTGTGGTAGTTCCACAGGCCCCTATTTAGTCATTAGCGTCTGTCTGTATTGCATGGGGACTGTGAGCCCTGACTGTTAACCCTTTGGTGGCCCCATATATCCTCACCCACCCTCACTCCCTTGTCCCCCGCAGCCCCACTTCTCAGAGCCCCTGAGGGCTGGTTGTCTTCCTGACGTCCCCTGTTTCCCCATGCAGAACATAGACACACTGGAGCGAGTGGCAGGGCTGGAGCCCCAGGACCTGGCTCAGGCCCACGGCACCTTCTACACCTCACACTGTGTCAGCTCCACCTGCAGACAAGAGTACACGCTGAGCTGGATGAAAGGTGAGGCTGGGACCACAGCTGAGGCCACGCCTCCCACCCCTTGCCCATGCCAGAGCCAGGTCTCCAAGTGGTGTGGCACCAACGTGGTCCTGTCCAGTTCTTCAGCTCTTGCCAGTTAGTGAGTTGGTTGGTTTCTTTAGAGACTAGGTTTCCCGATGTAGCCCAGGCTAGCCTGAGCTTGCACTTCTGCCTCAGTCTCCCTAGTGCTGAGACAGCAGGCATGCGTCACCACGCTCAGCTCTCTTCTCCTCATAGTAGCTGAGGAAGCCCCAAGGATTCAAGGCGGTGTCAAGTCTTGGCTCCCCCCTGTTCCCCCTCTGCCTGGCTGTGAACCCTTTGAACTACAGAGCAAGGCCAGCCACAGGTAGACTCATGCTCACAGCGGTCACAGAGCCACTGAAGTCAGGAGCAGCCAGCTCTGTGACCTCCAAGGTGTTTCGCCATTTTACATGAAAGTCCTTACATCAAGGGAAACACAGCTACATACTTGGGGCAGCACTGAAGTGATGGAGACCCGTGTCTGCATCCAGTATGGTGCTGCTTGCTCCATTTGTCTACTGAGCACGGGAAACGAGCCTAATGAACCAAAGAATCAGTTAATCAATTTTCAACTTCCACCATGCAGGTCTCAGCAACCCAACTCAAGCTGTCAGGCTTGAAGATGGCACCCTTACCTTCTGAACCGTCTTGCTGGTCCAGAACATTAAAAAGAAATTTTAAGACAGGGTCTCTATAATCCTATCGAATTTTTGTTGATTTAAATTGGAAGCCATGGTATATGCCTTTTTGTTGATGGGAGATAGAGGCAGGAGGGTCAGGAGTTCAGGGCTAGCTTGGCTACATAGCAAGTTTCAGGCCATGCTGGGCTGCATGACAAAAAAGTAACAATAAGATATAGCAATAAATTTTATAAGATCCACATAGCTCAGACTTCCATGTTCAACAGTGCAAGAGGAATGTGTAGAGAGTCAAGCTGGGTGCAGTACTGGTTACAGATGATGCTAGAAGCACACATGGCAGGGCTCACATCTGCCTCTACTGTCACTGTCCCCGTTTATGTGAGGACAGAGCATCCGAGAGAAACAGCTAGTCCCCACGCCCTCAGAGCCAGCACCAGCCTGTTTCTGGCAGCCATTGTGCTGAGTCTGAAGCTGCTGTGTCACTCGGGGAAGCTGTACTCTTTATGCTGACTTCACAAAGCCCCTGGTGTCCCCTTGAGATCAGGATAGCTGCGGCCTTTGTGGCAGGACCATGGAAGGATGCCTTTTTGACAGAATGCCAGCCAGCTGCCCCGAGACTGAGGGTTCCTGAGCAGTGCAAGTGTGCACAGCTGGGGGTGATGGACAATGGACACCACCCCCTTTATGGCCCTGGGGAACGGCATCCACCCCCTGCAGAACAGCACGTGGTTTGTGTAGAAATACCCTGAGTGGGGGTGGTTAAAGCCACACTCTGAACAGATAGATAGAGGAGTGGCTGAGTGACTGAGTTCCAGTTCTGTGGGCTGCAAGTGACAGATGTGCTTTCAAGCTCCCTGCTCCACAAGCAATAAGGCGTGTGACTGTCCTAAGAGTAGCATTGGAGGAGCCTGTCACAGAGTCCAAGTCGGGAGGCAGATGGGTGTGAGGTTGGCTCCATCCCAAGATTATCTGTATGTCCTTTCCTGACCCAGGAGCAAATAGGACTGTCCCCAAGACCACTTGGAAGGGCTTGGCTCCCATTCCCCAGATGGGGGGGTCTTGTGGAGTCCAGGGGTGCCTGTCAGGGGCAGGTGGGTTTGTTCCTGTGTTTATCATCTCTCTCTTCCTCTAGCTGTAGGCAGTGGTGCTTGGAGCCACCCCTGGATGCCCGGAGGTGGAGAGGAAGGCTCTCTAAGAAGGGTGCTCTTCTCTAATAAGCTGGAAGGACACCCCAGGAGATCCCTTAGTGGTGGGGTGTGCTTTTATTTTGTGCTGCTGGGGCTTGGGCATGTAAAGTCAGATGCTCCACCTCTGAGCCATCCCCTAGCCCCTCCCTGGGGAATTCTAGGCAGGGGCTCTACCACTGAGCCACACCCCAAGCCCTTCACTGGGGGGATTCTAGGCAGGGGCTCTACCACTGAGCCACACCCCCAGCCCCTCACTGGCGGGATTCTAGGCAGGGGCTCTATCGCTGAGCCACACTCCCAGCCCCTCCCTGGGGAATTCTAGGCAGGGGCTCTACCACTGAGTCACACCCCTAACTCCTCCCTGGGGGATTCTAGGCAGGGGCTCTACCACTGAGCCACGCCCCCAGCCCCTCCCTGGGGGATTCTAGGCAGGGGCTCTACTGATCATTGCCCAAATCCCGTAATGTTCCACCATTGAGCTACATTCTTAGCTCCTGGGGTTTTTGTTTTTTTTTTTTTTAAAGTATTTTCACATTTACTTCTTTGTGTGTTTGCATGTGTACATGTGTGGGTATATACATGCCACAGCATACCTGTATATGTCAGACGACAGTCTGCAGAAGTTGTTTCTCTCCTTTTAGCGTGTGGATTCTTGAGATGGAACTCGGGTCATCAAGCTTTTGGCAGCAGATGCCTTTACACAGAGCTGCTTCCCTGCCCCAGCTCTGGGTTTTTGAGACATGGTCTTGCTGTGTAGCCAAGGCTGGCCATGAACTTCCTAGTCCTCCTCCCGAATTCTCCCAAAAGCAGGTCTAGTGGCATGCATCACCGCCACTGCCACTGCCTGGGATGCGTTCATGTGGAAGCAGGGAAGGGCAGCAGAGGGGCTGCCGCTGCCTCGGAAGGCCTCACACCTCTCGCTCCCTCCCTCTCTCCCACCCAGAGAAGATCTTCTCAGAGACAACCCCCAAGTGCGAGAAATGTCAGAGCGTGGTGAAGCCTGGTAAGCCTCTAGGCCTGGGGGGACTGGAACTGGGGCCCCTCTCCCCCACCGCTCCCCTCACTCCACCTCTGCTGCCAGGCCCATCCCCTACCCACAGCAGGG